TTGTAATTACAATGAGCCTCCATAAAGAAATTCTACAGAAGATCCACAAGGGTCATTTAGGAATTGAGAAGTGCAAACAACAAGCATGAGAGGTGCTGTGCGGGCCACGGATCAATCATGACATTACTCATGTGGTCAGAAACTGCTTTTCATGCTGAAATACAAGCCATGCAAACAGGCAGAGCCACTGAGACCTCATCCAGTTCCACAAAGGACTTATGAGGAGGTAGGCACCGATTTATTTACCTGGGAACCAAAGGATTATTTAAGAGTCACAGATTATTAATTCCTGCATCCAGACATTGGCACACTGCATAATACTAAGTCAGTGATAGCTGGCATGAAGGGAATCTTCTCCAAACATGGAATTCCAGATGAAGTCTTTAGCCATAATGGACTGCAACTTTCCAGGGCAGATTTTAGGCAATTTGCCATAGATAGGGATTTTCATCACAAAACATCAAATCCAAATTACCCCCAATCAAATGGATTTGTGGAAAGATTTATACAGACAGTAAAGAACCTTATGAAAAAGACCTTTGACAGTGGGGATGATTTGTATAAAGGATTACTGGTTTATCAAAGTACACCCCTGGAGAATGGCTTTTCTCCAGCTCTGATGTTAATAGGAAGAAGGATCAGATATAATTTACCAATTACTGAGAATGTACTGAAATCTCATAACAATGATACCATACAGAAGATGAAAGAAAATCAGAAGTGGAAGCAGAAATATTATTTTGACAAAAGGGCCCGTGATCTCCCATCTCTTAGCCCAGGTGATGGAATGTGTCCAAGGAATCACACCTCTAATACTTGAGACCAAAGAGATACCATTAAAGAACAGCTGCATCCAAGGTCTTATGTAGACCAGACAGACCAGGGGGACACATTTCGACGTAATCAAAGGGATCTATGAGTAATCCCAGAAAGTTCCAACACATTGACAGTAGATGTGGACTCTGGCATTTCCCATCTGACTGATCCTTTATCATCAATGCACAAAGGAGAAACTGCCAACGAACAAGAGAACAACTCAGACTGTAATGAAAGGTTGATACTGAGAAGACCAGAACGGGAAAATAAATGTCCTGAAAGACCATAGAGACTTGCTAACCTGCCTGGGGAATGCGTATTTGAAGTGAGTGGTAAAAACTCAATCAAGAGCGATATGCTGGTAATCTCTCTTTACTAGGTAGGTGACACATTGGGTTTATGGAAATGTACTACATAGGTTGAAATGTAATGCATGTGTTATTAGATAGCTGTTAGCTATATATATATATGAGTTAATTCATTTCTCTTTAAGAGGGAAGATGTAGAGATATGTTTGTAGAAGATTATAATTTAGAGATGCTCCCTTATAAGGGACAGTATTATGAACATAGGAATTTGGAGATGTGCCCTGGATGCAGGGGGGTGGGTACACCACATGGCTGTGTGCAGTTCACCACATTAGCTCTCCAATTTGTTTTATTAAAATTGTATTCTTTTCTCATTCACCGGTTTGTTATTTAATGAACCCCAAGATTGTTACAACCCCAATGATCCCTAAATGTTTGATCCCCCAGGACCCACATTGCTCTTCTGGCTCTACACACTCATCCCCTGATCTCTACAATGACTGCTCCTTTCAGCACCCTGTGCTTAGCATCCAGCTCCCTCACCTTCTGGTTTATACTTCCCATCCATCTCTCATCAATTCCAGGTGTTCAATTCTCACAACACACACTCCTCCTGGGGAAGGATTTTGCCAACAAAATGATCTCCAAAGGATCAATCACCTTAGCACATGCTCCTTCTCCTGATCACTGCCGCCCCACTTCCCTCACATGATGTAGTTTTTAATCTGTTTATTTTTGGCAGTGCCACACATTGCCCATGTGCCCCCATAAAGTGCAGCTCTCATTGATTTCTGTCCCATCTCTCCTGCATTATTAATGTATCTTCCACAGGAATAAGTGGGCACACTCAGTCTGGGATAGGGTTTCACTCCCCCGTGGGTTCTCTGGTGTCGAGTGAGCGATGAATTCTGGCTGAAACTTTTCCAACACTGAGCACATGTATAGGGTTTCTTTCCTGGTGTGGATTCGCTGATGTTGAGTAAGATCTGATTTCCGACTAAAACTCTTCTTACAGTCAGAACATCTATATGGTCTCTCTCCCATTTGCGATCTCTGATGTTTAATAAGGTCTGCACACATGTTCAGTCTCTCTGTCTTGTGTATTCTCAGGGGAGAATTCTCCTCCTTATTTTCACTCAGGAAGACCTCATCATCTGCTGAAATAAAAATATATATGATTTCTTTGGGGGGGAAAACAATTTCAAACCCCAGAACTAAGAATGGCAAAGGATTTATCCCAAATCTAAAAATTATTTATGAGATTGATAATCAGGAACCAAATCTTTAGAGAAAGGATGGGGCCAATTCTGAAGCAAAGTAATGAAGACCTAGGCCTGGTCTACACTCGGGGTGGAGGAGGGGGAATCAATTTAAGTTACGCAACTTCAGCTACGTAAATAATGTAGCTGAAGTCGACGTACTTAGATCTACTTACCGCGGTGTCTTCACTGCAGTAAGTCGATGGCTGATGTTCTCCTGTCGACTCCGCCTGCGTCTCTCGCCCTGGTGGAGAACCATAATCGATGGGAGAGCACTCGGCGGTAGATTTATCGTGTCTAGACTAGATGCGATAAATCGACCCCCGCTGGATTGATCGCTGCCTGTCGATCCAGTGGGTAACGTAGACAAGCCGTAAGGCTCATATCCTTAATGGTATTTAGATGCCTAACACCCATTGGACTAAAGGACTAAGCACAGGGCTAGCATCCAGGAATGCCTAAATTCTAGTCATAACTCTGACACCAGTTCATTAAATGAATGTTCTTTGAACATGTGAAACACTATAATGGTCACCAAATATTATTACTGTATTAACTGATGGCTGTCTTGGAATTCCAGCATTATACTTTACTCATGGATCGTTTCTCAGTTGGTTCAACAACTTAGTCTTCACCTGTCTGGGTAGCTTTCAGAACCTCTCTTTTTTTGGTGGCCTGGAGATCTGGAACACATGGCTCTTCCCCTCATTCCGTCTGGGAGATCACATCAGGTTTGGGAACCAGAAATCCTATTCATGAGACAGAAAACAGTTGATGTCATGATATGTTAAATATTTGGGCAGAATTTATTAACCAAATGAAAACAATCATTCACCCAGTGAGATCACAGTCTCAAATGTCTCTCACATGATGCCCCTGTAGAGTTCTCTCTGCCTTTCATCCAAAAGTGCCCACTCTTCCTGGGTGAAATACACAGCCACTTCCTCGAATATCATCTGTATCTGAAACAGGAAGAGTTCCCTACTCAGCTGACAACCCTAATGGTCAGTCACTAGCTGGGTAGCAGAGGATAGAGCAGCATTAGGGAGCGTGAAAAGCATCGTGAGTGTAAGAGGCAGGATACACGAGGAAGGCATATATCTGCACAGGGTTCCCCTGAAAGCTTTGTGGGTTTGTTTTATGCAATGAAGGAGAGCGAGAAGCGGCAAAGAAAATAGAAGAGGGAAAGACTGCAAAAGACGGAGAGAGTCAGGGAGGTTTCTGGGCTCGTTTTGTTTAAGGAAGAGGGAATGAGGAAAAAATTGGAGAAAGGGAGAGAATTAAATTCTAAAGTGGCATAAATTAAATTCCTCCAACTGTTAAGAATTACCTACGTTAAGTATGCTTTTAAATGTCAAGTGGATGGTAAGAATGTCAGACCAGACCCTCAGGACTCACCATTTTCTGGTGCTGGATGAGTTGTGATTTCCGACCGAAGCTTTTCCCACACTTAGTGCATTTATAGGGATTCTCCTCCATGTGGACCCTCTGGTGACAAATAAGGTCTGAGCTCCAGGAGAAGCTTTTCTTACATTCAGGGCACTTATAGGGTCTCTGTCCTGTATGGATCCTCTGATGTTTAATAAGCGTTGACCTGCAGCTAAACCTTTTCCAACACTCAGTACAATCATGGAGTTCCTCGCCCGTGTGGATTCTCTGATGTACAATCAGATCTGAGTACTGACTAAATCTCTTCCCGCATTCGGCACATTTATGCTGTTTGTTCCCCGTGTGGATTCTCTCATGCTGAATGAGCGTTGAGCTCCAACTGAAGCTTTTCCCACATACTGCACATCTGAAGGGTTTCTCTCCGGTGTGGATTCTCTGATGCTGTGCAAGTGTTGAGTGTTTATTGAAGCTTTTCCCACATTCAGTGCATCTGTAGGGCCTCTCTCCCCTGTGGGTTTTCTGATGACGAATGAGTGTGGAGCTCAGAGTGAAGCCTTTTCTGCATTCCAGACATTTATAGGGTTTCTTTCCTGTGTGGATTCCCTGGTGCTGACTAAGTTTAGAGTTCTGAAGGAAGGTTTTCCCACACTCAGTACATTTATAAGGTTTTTCTCCCATGTGGAGTTTCTGGTGTGTAATAAGATTTGATCTCAGACAGAAGCTTTTCCCACATCCTATACACATATTTGGACTCTCTCCCTGGGCAATGATGCTCTTGTGTCCTCCCAAACCTCTTTCATGGCGAACCAATTTATCCTGGTTCTTCCCTACAGAATTTCCCTCTTTCCTTTCTGACCTGCCCTGACTCTCAGAGATTTTTCCACAGTCAGGATTCCGGGCAATATCCCCTGCTGGTCTCCCAGCTAATGTCCAGTATGGTTCTGTCTTTTTGGGATCTTTCTGCTGAGGAGTGACCTCTTCAGGATGATCTTATTGTCTGCTAGAATAAAAATAAAACGAACTATCATTATTTATAAGATTGAAAACCAAGATTTCAATCTTCTGCATCCCTTCCACACAGGGGATCAGTTCTGCTTCAAGATTCCCTCCGAGCACTCAGATAAAAGATGGATAAAGGGACCACTGATAGATGATAGCACTTTACAATACTGGTTAACTTGAGATGAGGCAGACCTGAGAGACCATTGAGGATTTGTTGGAACTCCATGCATCAATGTCATCTAAGTCTAAGATAGCTACTGTACTAGTGTGATGCAAGACTGCATTTTTAAGTCTCTTTGACTGGACTTTTTGGCTAGCTGTCACTATTGGAATTCCCCTCAGCAATCAGTATCCTGGCTAGTGTCCTCTGGTTCTGATTCATATTGTTCTGACCACCACGTGAGAGCATTGAGTATATGCACCTGTTTCTCAAGGAAACATATCCTTTTGATCTAAGTTATAGGAAGGGAGACTGTATACAGTACTACAATGAGGGAGACCTTAGAGATGCAAATAAATAATGAACATAAAATAAACTCTCACCAGTTCAGGTGCCTCTAAAGATGTCTATTTTCTTGGAGTCTTGGAGAGTCAGGGCACCTGACTCTTGCCCTTGTTCCACCTGGGAGATCACAGCAGGCTTGGAAATCATAAATCCTACTCATGAGGAAACAAAACAAATGATAGCAAATATTATTAAATACCTGTAGAGTACTCACGACAAGCAATGACCTGTTATTTTAAAACTATCTCCTTTATGTGCTGGAGTGCCTGTTGGCTGAACAGACGGAGGATGTTTACAGAGCTCTTGTGGGAAAGCAAAACTTTTACGGTAGGAGATTCAGAGATATGCACACATATGGGGACTTGATGACTCAGCACAAGTATTAAGCTACTGGCACTTGATCATTTCTGTACTTGCAGATCAGTCAGAGACCCTTCTGAGAATGAAGCAAGAGCCAAGGAAGGGGAATAAATTATTTTGTATTACTACAAGCATGTACATGTAAATGCAAGCATTCTCCTTTCATAGAATGCTCTTAGCCTGGTAGGATTAGCACCGCCACTGTGTTTCTGAATTTAGTATTTCACTGAAGGGACACAGTTTCTATCACACAGGATCTGGGAATGGTATAAATTCTTTCCCCGGAAACATAAGGAACCCAGGAAAGAACCCTGAGCAGAAGCCAGACTGGGCACTAAACAGAAACAAAAGGTGCTATTACCTAGCAAGAGCTTGGTGTCACAATCCTCCTGCATGATATCCCTCCAGACACTTCTCTTTTCTTCATCCCAAAGAGTTCCCTTGCCTTTGATGTAGAATGTCTCTGCCACCTGAAAGTACAACCATTCCCCGGTCACTGCCTACAGCTCCAGCAATAATTCCACCTCTGAACAGAGAGGGAAGAAGCTGGCGGTGTCAGGGCAACATGAATAGCTTTCAGCAGCACAGGCAGGCTCTAGGGATAGGGGCGGAGCTGGTGCAACATACCTGCACAAGGTCTGTGTGTTTATGCAGCTTGATGTGGGCCGGGGTGTGGAAGCCCGGGGCAGCTAACAGGAGATAGAGAGGGACAAAATGTCTTTTGTGATAAACAAATCGATTTTAAACTAAAAGAAGAATTTTAGATATAAATTGTCCCTGCTCCCTCCCCACACACACACGTCCCCCTCAGCCAAGGCAGCTGGAGCTTGGTGAAACATAACAACATTTAGAAATATAATAATAATGAAAAAGTCAAACTGAAGCAATTGAGGAATCCAAGAGAAAAAAAGGAGGCAAATGACAGCAAAAAATAATAAATATGGGGCCAACAACGCACAGTCTGAAAAACAGTTCCAGAGTGAAAGTAGATACCTTTTAAATGTGTGGTGCGATGGATTTCCTGGGGGGAAATGGCTCTATACCATCAAGAAAAGTGTGATCGTCTGCCAACTGAAGATGCCACAGTAGGATCCCTATAAGCCATGTTGTGTGGAACATGGATAAGCAGCAGAACGAGGCTCAAAGATGAGGTCACAAATATAGCTAGGACCTGCCATTAAAAGCTTATACTTAGTCAATTCACCATCTTAGACATAGCAAGTATAAAGAACGCAAAGCAGCCCTGGTTGCTCAAAGCAATGAGCACAGATGCTGCTGTGGTTCGAACAAGCTGCAAATGACATGGAAGCCCTGATAAGAGGGAAGCACAATAACTGAGCCTTGTGGTTATGAGGCAAGATACTACTGCTGCAATGGTCATCACAGGGCAAATAAAGGCATACCTTCACAATTGGTGTAACTCCAATGAACTGTCATGTTATGTCCAACTGGGAGTTTTCTGTGAAAAGGGCATGCTCAAAAGCAACAAAACTATTCTTAACCTGACTCACTACTTCTGAACAAATCCCTTCAGCAAGTGGGGACAGGAAGGAGAAGTGAGGCACTGTGTAGAAAAGATCTTCTACCCAGAATCGAGACTTCCGCTCTCCCAGAAATGAGTATGAGGTAGCTCCAGTTCATCCAACCAGTGACAGCATCCAAGAAATCCTCCAGAAGAGAGACCAAACTTGCAGGATCCACAGGGCAATGTACATCATAAGCTGTGTATCATCAGCTTAGTGATGATACTCTTCCACCCAGATAGAATTTTGGTACATTTTTCAAATATATAGCAACAGAAGAGACTGGATTGCTCAAAGAAGGACACCACGTTACAAATCTTTCCATAAGGATGTAATTTTCCATTCCCAGTAACTGACTACTAACATTTAGGTATGTCTAGATCCTCTGGAGGGCAACTTCTCTTATGGCTTGATCCAGAGCCTACTGAAGTCAAAGGAAAGCCTCCAACTGATTTCAGCAGGCACTGGATCAGACCTTTAGTCAGCAAAGCAACTACCCATGGTTAGTCATATAAAAAGATACTAAAAAGTGCATCATGACCAAATTGGCCAACTGATCCTGTCCTATAATTAACAGCATGATCCTGATCAGCATGGCCTCAGAACCGAAGGAAGCCCAGCACCCAGACTGGAACCTGTTATGTCACCACTGGTGCCCAACCCCCAGACTAGAACCTGCTATGATGTTGGATAAATAGCTACCAGCTTCTCCATCTATCTCCTTCCCCAAAGATGGGACGGTAGAGACTGGGCAATATTTGGCGTTAAGGACTTCAACATCAAACAATGTTTTTTTAAGGAAGGGTTGAGCCTCTGCAGACTTACAGCTATTCCACACCCTCCCCTTATGAAGTCTGGTGTTGATGATGCTGGTGAATAAACGTGGGGGTGCAATGGAGCAGATTTTGGCGATACGTGATGTTTGGAAGAGGGTAGCTGCGGTCTGAGATGTCTTCAGGAGATATGGGTGGGTGTGGTAGGAGGCAATGTTTGTGAATGGTGTTTGGGGTAGAGTGCGTGATAGAGGGTGCTGGGGAGGACACGTGGTAGATAAAGATGAGCAGTGGGCAGGGTGTTTCCACTACCGGTTCTACCATTGCTGCAGAGGAAATAGCGCCTTCCTGGCATTTTCAAAACTTCCACTTGGTAGGACTAGCTAGTTCTTGGGGAATGTTTGGGCTTGGTGTACAGGTACACATTTTATTGGCATAACTAGGTCAGTCAGGGTGTGTGTTTTTACCAACATAGTGATACCGATGCAACCTCTAGGGTGGACAGTTATACCAGTATAGTGGTGCCTTATACTGGTATAGTTATTCCCCTTCCCAAACAGGAATAAACGATACCAATATAAACACTTTTATATCAATACAAATGCATCCGCACTAGGTACTGCTTTAGCCACACCCCTATAGTCAGAGCTGTACAACTTACTCCTATAGTCGAGCTCTTACTCACCAATCCCCTTCCTGAAATCCTGGCAGAGAGGGTCAGCTGTCACCATGTGTGCTGAGGATGCACACACACCTATGTGCGGTGCCTGAATTATTCTTATTTCCATCCCGGTGCAGCTCAGACTCCAGTCCCCTTCCTGCCCTTACCAGGTCCTGCTGCTAGCAATTCCAGACCTCTCTGCTGTTTTCTGTCCCGTGCCCCTGCCCTGCTGCAGCTCTCTCCGCTCTCTCTTTATCCCAGACCCCCTGACTCACGGCTCAGCTGGCAGCAGGGACGGGGTTGTTAATTTGATCCATGGTGTGTGCCGGGGCACAGAGAGCAGGAACTGAGATGGGGATTCAGTCAGTCAGGGTCCAGGTGCCGTGAGCGATCTTGGTGCTGAGACACCGGGTTTCCAAGGGATGGCTGGCACAGGATGTTCCATGTGCATTTCGCTTCCCCTCACATTACTTCCTGGTCCTCTCTGGGGAAAGGAGACATCAGTTGCTCTCTGGTTTTAATCCTTAACTCCCCAGATTCGGGGAAATAAGTAACTCTTTCCAAAAATGCTCTCAGTTCTCTCCATCACCTTAGCTTGCTCAGAAACAGCAATTCCCTCTCATGCCAGGTCAGATCGGATCATTTAGCCCAGCAATCCCACCCTGACAGTAAAGAGAAAGTGCAAAGAAACCTTGTAATGGACAATTAAGGAATAACCTGCCCCTGTGCTATATCACTAACCCCCAAAGTTACAAAATTGAGTTAGGTCGCCCAAAATCAAGAGATTATTACAAAATATAATTTAAAAATGCATTATGGTGGTGGGGGGTGTTAATTTGCCTCTGGGTTTTGAGGCTTTGGGGTACAGTCAGCTCATCTTTTCAAGCTGTTCTGGACAACCACAGTGGGTAGAAACTTTTTTCTTTCAATGAACGCTGAGATTCTCATATATTCAAACAACTCCAGCAGCTGGGCCCCTAAAACAAACACTAATTATTTACAAGACTTCCAATAAAATTGTGAGAGGTGTCACCACTGCATGGGGGAAGTTTCTTCCTAGCCCCTAGCATTAATGGGTTGGCCTATACCCTCTAGCATCAGGGATTATCCTCCTTACTCATATTTATTCTATCTAATGTAATTGTGGATGTTCTCATTGTCTATATAAATGTCTCATCCTTTTAAAAATCTTGCTGCAGTCTTGGTCTCAATAATACCTTGTGGCAGTGAGTCTCACAGGCCAATCATACATTGTGCAAAATGTATGGATTCCCTTTAGTCAGCTTTAAAATGTATTTTCTGGTTCCTTTCATGTCCATGTGTTCTCCTGAGAAAGTGCAAACAGGAGAGCCTGACTGCTCCTCTTCAGTCCAGTGACCTCGGTCCTATTCCTGTCACTGTTAATGAAGAAAGAGCTTCCTCTGCAGCTCATGCCATCTGAAGCATAGAGGTATGAAGACTTTAGATACACATAATCCCCTTCTACTCCTTGTACTTCCGGGAAAGTGTGTCTCTGATTCTGATTATGGGGGGCTCAGACTCATGTTCGCAAGGCACCCACCCAATATCTCTGCCTGGGAGGGAAGGGGGCATAACCAGTGCCCTCCAATAGGAACAAGTGTTAATTTGCATACTAAGTAGTACATTGAATTATTCATTTTGACATAATTTGGGGGAAAATTCATAATTGGAATGAATCAAGTCATTGCTATTTCATCTCTGGTGTTTCCCTATGTTTGAAAATATTTTTGGTAGGAGAGAGATGAGTCACCTGGCACTTAGTAAATATCATCCCGATTTTGGCAGTCACTCCAGGAAGTGCAATTTGTGTAACTGAAACTCTGTTAGTATTTGTTTAATGGGGTTCTTGTTTCTGCAAGGGATCCTCATTTAGATAGCTTGAATGAAAAGTATTAGTGTTCTAAGGTGTTTTGTTTATGTATGTGTGTGTAAAAATAGCACACAGTATAATGCAGTCTCTGCTGCTTATGGTTGGCAGCTGACTAGGTGGGAATCCAAACAATGCCTGGGGCTCTGAGCTCCATGCATTTCCTGGAGAGGAATGTTGAAGCTGAGGAGCAAAGAAAAGAGCCAGAGGAAAAAGATAGGCATCAATCTTTGATGCAATCGTTGATGAGGTGCATTGAGGGAGTCCAAATGATATCAGGGGCTGTTGGGGCAAATAATTCATTGGAGTGGGTTCTCAGTATGGAGGGAGAAAGCCATAGTAATTCACTGTGTTTCGAGATTAGCTGGGGATGTGTGTTTCTGTGAATGTGTGCAGGGGCAGATTAGTTTTTTGGGCAGTGGTTTGTGTGTGTGTGAGGGGGGCAGGACTGGACTGAGGAATAGATACTGTTGGCTTGCGCATAGGACAAGAGCTCCTGGGAAGGATATGATTACATCAATATCTCACTTTTCACATTTTTATGAAAGTTGCTAGTGCTTGTGGTTGTGAAGAGACACTTGAAGACATGACTCCAGTATAACTGATTTGGGGGCGTCTGCCTGAATCTGCGGAGAGCCGGGAACAATGAGGTGAATTTTCCAAGTCATCTCAATGGCATGTTGGTTTCTTTGCCCGCAGAGCCCTGCCAATGTCATCCCAGCAGAGGACTGTGCGTGTGGCAGGAGAAGAAGAGCACATTGGGGCTAGCTATCCAAGCAAACGGCCACTGGGATGGATTTCTGGTAAGTACCAGGGGGCCTTGTGCTGCTGTTCCTGCCCGTGGGGTGGGTGCCAGAGACGACCCTTGATGCTGTTCATGCTGCTCCTGAAAGGGTTGGGGAGATGGGTTTGTTGCCATCCCTTGGGGGAAAGTGGTTCCATGCCACTGCCTTGCTGGGTGGAGAAGCGGGCCTCCTTTCACTGTTATTCCAAGTGGGGAGTGGGGCCGGAGTGTGAGGATCACGTGTGAGTGTGTGTTTGTGTGTGCATGTGTGTCAGAGGGCAGGCAGATGATTAATTCACTGAGAGATAGTTAGGAATGACAGCGCTTGGTCATGGAGTGGGGGCTTCCAGCTCCTCTTCTTTAGTTTGGGTCTCAGTATTGTGGAGAGTTCATGGCAGCTCCTC